AATTCCCCAGCACTGTTCCCATCCCCCAATTCCCCAATAAAAAAAATCTTTAAAAAAAAACCAAAACATATTTTAAAACAATTGAAAAGAGAAATTATGCGTACTATAGACTAGAGCATATTAAAGGCTATTTTGTAAAACCATCTAGAAGAGAGCCTGGGACAAAATAAGTATTAAATAGGCCCTCTCTCCCTTTTCCCCTGTCTATAGAGTGGAGAAATAAAAGGCCAATCTTTGAGACCTCTGTCATTTCACCTCCTGGACCCCAGCTTCCTTGTCTCTCAGAAGAGCTGGAATCAAGGCTGCAAGATTTGAAATATTCTGTTTAATATAAAACATGTTTCATAAGTGACATAAGTGATCCTAGGCTCCGACTCTACAAGTAGCCTTAGAAGTTGGCGTGACTTGTCCGGGCGTTCCTCTTCCTATGTGGAGAAAGGAGCCATCAGCCAAAACTGGAACTTTTGCAAAATCCATCTTCACTCTTTAAAGAAAAGTCGTAGAGAGTCCAGACATCATGTGTTTTTTATAGGCTCTGGGCACTGTTATTTTTTTCTCCTATTGTCAAGGAAGCCTGCAACTCCTTCAAGTTACACAGGAAGCAGTAGCGAGTTTCTGAAGTTTCTAGAAACACGTGAGGAAGTGCTCTGACAGATGGTATCTTTGCAGACCACTATTCATCACTACTCATTTAGTACTCTTTAGCTGTTTAAACAGTGACTTTGATTACCCCAGATGGTTTCTCATGCTTTTCTTGGAATGACTCTCATAGGTAGTCTCACCTCAGCCCCCACACTTTTATGGGCAACCAAAACCCATACAGTAAATACAAAAACATAGGAGTCATGGAGGCAGAAATATGACTTGAACAAATACCTTCACTGTAGGGCAGAGACGGTCCTATGCCCTTCCCCTACAGATCTGTTTACTTCAATTCTTTTTCCTCTTTGTGACCCTAGAGTTTACGCTCTTGCTGTTTCAAATTGGTGGAGATGCATTAAAATATTATAGAAAGCAGTTTGTGGCTCGGGGGTGAGGTAGATTGATAAGCACCCTTAAGCTGTTGGAAGGATCTTATAGAAAATCTAGTTCAATACTCTCATTTTACCCAGGTGAAAAGAATGGCTCAGAGAGGTCACTTGACTTACACAGGTCACACAGGAAATTAATGATGAAACCATGATAAGGCCATTTGACTCCCAATACATGAGCTAAGTGCTGGGGACAGGGAAAAAAGTGAAAATATAAGGTAGAGTCTTTAGGCTTCACTCTTAGGGACCTTACAAAGGTGATGGAAAACAGTATCTTACATGGCCTAAGAGACACCTTTAGGTGTTAAACCTTTAGTAAAAGAAGACTGCACAAATTCTTCAAATATTTGGTCATTTTTTTGGGGGGGGCTTCCCCCCTTTCTGCTTTTGTGTTAAGTTATGTCTAATACCTCATTAGAGATTTCCTATATGAAGAAAGCATAATGGTTCATTCACCTTTAAGGCATTTCCTTTTCTCAGTGGGAAAAAATAACTTAAACATGGACTAAGTATGAGCAAATTGATCAACATTTTTCTTGGTGTAAAGATTATTGCACCAAGCTTTAAGTAGTCAAGTAGTCATATGTCTTTAACATAAATAAAATGAATAATATACACATAATTTTTGACTCCTCTGCAATAGTTTTTGTGAAGTAATACTTAGGAACACACAGAATACGAGAGAAACTTTTCAACAGTTATTTTTTACTCCTAATTTCTGCTGTTCCATCAAGCAAATAGAAATAGCATCTAAGTATTTTCCAATTAACAAATATAATTTTAATATTTTATATAATTTAGCCTCATTCATATGAAAGAATTCCAAAGTCCCTTTGAAGACACAGCTGAGATATGTAGGTGCATTTTATAAGTGATGTAATTCATGGTTTAACTATATAGCTTGGGAATGAAATAACAGTTACAGTCAGTTGGTGTAAGCAAAGGTTTATTTTTGCCAAGATTTTTAGTAAATGTTAACAAAATAGAGAGAAATCTTGTGTCAATCATGAGATTTACATGGTTAAATTTCTCTGAGTTGAAATGTATTATGCCTTTTTAACTGAAAACATTCACAATTTTTACCAGGGCTTTATCCTTGGCTAACAATGTTGGATTTGTTTTTTCTTCATCTTAAATTGATTTAGGGTGGCTTCTACATCTGGATACCCATATCCCTGAAGTGTCTGGTTCTGAAATAAAAGTGCAAGTTGGAAGGTATTGGAGTGGGATGAAGGGGCCGCTCTAATTGCTTCAGGGAGTCTTCTAACCAATTTTCATTTGCTTCATCCGTGTCCTAGGATAAAGGAGGATAGAGGGAGAATGCAAAAAAGTAAGTCAAGGAACTTTTAATAAGTCACGTGGAAAAAGCAATACAAAAGTAGAAGGCTTCCTAACTTGGAGAAGTTTCACCATACACCACTTCGAGATTCTTCGTGATAACAATGCAACCATTGTGTACTCTGGCTTCACGATTTTACTTCTTCACTGCAATAGGTACACAATTCAACTCCTCCACACTGTTTTCTAGATACGTGGGCAAAGTTTTACAGGGGTCTATCAGAAACATAATAGAAACTCAATTATCTTGGAGAAATTGGAACATAGTGCATACACCGTCGTCGAGTTAGGGATTAGGTGTTCTTTTGCACTTGTTTTTTTAATTTTGATGAAATAGCATTCTGTGCATAATAATGACTTAAAGCTGGAGACAGCGCAATGGCTCACGTCACCACTGCTCGAGGAGAGGGCATATGCGTTCTCTCTCTAAATCGGAGCCGCCTAGAAGTCCATCGGGGGGCGAGGGGGGGGGGTTAGAGGAGCGATCTGAGCCCCCTCCGTGGTTCTCAGCGAGGCCGCAGGGTCTGGACTGCACGTGGCAGAGGCGCAGACCGCTGTGCACTCGCTGGTGACTCCGTCGAGGAGAAGGGCGCGTGAGTTGGGTCTTCCGCTCTCTAAATCCGCTTGGGATGGCACCGTCCCTCACCCTCTCCCTCCCTCCCGGCTGGACTGTATGGAAGGAGCGAGAAGAGGTGACTTGGGCATAGGGTAGAATCAAGCAGAGGCAGGGGCCACATTTTGGATTCCTCCGAGCCGCAGCGTGTCCAGCGGATTCAATATCGAGCGGTCTCCGGCATAGAGTGAGGCGGTTCGAGCGTGCGGGCGAGAGGGTCACTGTGCAGGGACAAGGTGCGGTTGGTTTGAGGAGTCTGCCAGCAGTGACCTTCAGGGAAAGAGTTCGGGGCACCAGCTTGGTGTCCCCAAGAGGAGGAGGCCGGGAAGCTTTTGGGGATGCAGACTCGGATTGGAGTTTGAACTGTGTGGGTCGCTTGACTGCCCTGGGTCTCAAGGTGGCACCCCAGATGGAGGTGAGTCAGGACCGAGGAAGGCGTAAAACAGTCTCAAAGCGCTTTCCAGGACGTAAGGAAATAGTATTTTTCCATACTGGAAGTGCGCGGAGTCCCCCTGCTGCTGGCATCCGCGCCTAGGATCTCGGAGCTCGGCTGCCCGTGTCCGTGCGGGGCACCGCCAGACGTCGTGGCTTGGCGACAGCGGCTTCCGGTCACGTCCCTACTGTGGCTCTTATCAGCTGGGGCCCTGCCGTCGGGGAAAGGACCAACAAGGCAGGACTCCCGCCTGACTCTGCTCGGCTGACTCGGTCCCCGGGTCCCCGCCCTAGGAACGTTCACCTCTCCTCCCGGGCCCTCACTTGCCGGGAGCTCCTCGGTCCTGGAGGGTGCGCTGGGGTGGCCGGGCGCGGGAGATTGGGTGCAGCCTGGACAGAGCGGCCCTCCTGATCCCCTGGACCAGGGGAGGGTTCGCGTGAGAGGAGTTCGTAGGAAAGAGCAGGGCACAGAATTGGGACACTCTGGGAGAATTTTACCCCCCCCCCCCTGTGGCAATAGAGCAAAAACCCTGATGAAACGTGTCGGTTCTCGATTTCCCAGGGAAGTAAATTCCAACCTCCAGCTAGCATCTCGCTCCTAAGTACTGGCAGAAGTTCTCGGTCTCGCCCGCTTGGACATCGCCACCTTTTCTGCGTTGGGGACATTTCGTTCAGTCTCTGGCCATCCATTGCGCCTTAGGCGCGGGGAGCTCCTCTTTGTTCTTCTCCCCACGCCCCAGGCAAAGTGCAGGGGGACCAGCCCTGCCCTGCACCGGACTGCACTGCCTCCCGTTCACTCCAGCAGTCGCCGAGGGCCACGCTTTTCTCCGGCAGGATTCTTTTCCCGCCCGACAGTAGCCGGCCCAGGCTAGGTGCCCAGGCTGGGGGCATTGCCCCTGAAGACGTCGTGGCGACCCTTGTTACCAGCATCCTGCCGGGCCCCGGCAGGTCGTAGCAGCAATCTCTCCAGAGCAGTCCCAACTGAATTTCCTCCCCCTTGGGACACGTTTCCTGGGAAAACCTCTCCTCAGCCCCCTCCAGCTATCCCTAAGGGGTCAGGAAACGTTTGAATCTCCATAGAAAAGGCTCAATTTAAGTGCAGGGTGGGGCGCAGTGGGCGGGGCAAAGGTGGCTGGGAGCATTGAATTTCTCTTTCTCCTCCAAACGAGCCATCGGCGGATAAAGCGCAAGTTTGTGCCCTCGGTCTGCAGAGGGATTGCGAACCGAGAAAACAGAGCGTCCAGTGGGATGCGGAGTTTGCCCAGATTTTCCTGCAGATGGGTTTGCGGAAACGCCTGTGATGTGAACTTTCTGCAGATTGTGTATGGAGGGAGCTCAAGGGAAGGAGCGAGGGGAGCGGGCCGGGGAGGGGGGCCGTGTGAGCGTGAAATGTGCCAGTGTGTGTGTGTGGGGTGGTGTGCCCAGGCGCGGGGGCCGAGGAAGGAGTCGAGAACGTCCCGCAGGCTCATTGGTTTAAGACATTCTGCAAGCGCTGGAAAAGGTCGTTGAAGGAGTTCGCTGCACACACACACAAAATAATATCTTAAAAAAGAGTGCCGGGCATGCGCACAGAGAGGATGCCATATTGGAATGAGGCTGTAGTGGGAGTCGGAGGACCGGAGCGGGCGCGCGAGGGAGGCGGCGGGCGGGGAGTGAGCCAGGCAGAGCGGGCGGGAGCCAGGCAGAACCTACGAGCGAGGCCGGCGTCCCCGCCGGAGGCGCCCGGGGCCTTGGTCCACGCCGAGAGGAGGACGAACTTCAACCAGGTAGGACGCCGCGCCGGCCGCTGTTCCCGCGCCCAGCCCGCTCCGCCGGCCGACCTCCGGCCCGCAGGTTGAGTGAGCCGGTCAGCTTCTTTTTTTTTCTAGCTTAGGAAAAAAAAAGGGGAGCTCGAGCAAACCCGGGGCGAGGGGCTGGAGGAGGGAGTGCTGAGGCAGAGGAGCGAAAGAGAAAGGCAGGAGGAGAAAGCGACAGCACTTGAGCAGAGAGCCCCCAAACTCCGCGCAGCGCTCCGGGTTGTCATTTTTGCTTCCCCGGCCGCTTTCCCCCTCGCCTTTGAAAAAGCCCGGCCTTCCGGGAGTCCGTCCGTAGTTGCAAAGTGCCCTCCTCGCCGGGTGCAAGCTGTTCCTCCCGCTGCCCACCGTCGTCATTTGCGCTCCTTTTAGCGACGCAGCCGCCCTTGCTACTCCACGCTCCCCTGTCTCCTCGCTGGGGTCTCTTTCTTCTATTTTGTGTGTGTGTGTGTGTGTGTGTGTGTGTGTGTGTGTGTGTGTGTGTGTGTGTGTGTATTGGGGCGGAGGGGTGGGGAAGATGGTGGGGTGAGGACTGGAGACCAACCATCAAGGGGGTGAAAAATCGTATCCGAATTCCCCCCTCCCCCCGCGAAACATTTCCCGGTGCAGCTGAAATGAAATTGTCAGTAGTAGTTTCGGAGCGTGCTTCGGCTCGGGTGATCTTTTTGTTCTTTTTTTTTTTTTCTTTAAAGTAATATCCTGTCACTTGGGGCATTCCTGTTGTCTACTCTTTTATGATCTCCTTTCAAAATTACTAATCTGATCTGGCGTTGGAGTTATTTTTTTTAGTGTGTGTGTGTGTGTGTGCGTGTTGGTAAAATCCACCAAAAAAACAACTGTAGGAACTGCTAGATATATTTATTGATTTTGATCCTGGGCGGCGGGAGGGAATTAAGCCGGTGGGAGGGGGGAGTTTCTGGGGTGGGAAGTGGTTGATTCTCGGTGGCCGGACGTACGACCAGAGCCGGATCCGTACTTGTGGTTTTTTGGAAGCGCTACAACTGCGGTGAAGGAGTCTTTGGGAAACCGTGCCAGTTTCAATATGGCGGGCTAAGGTGGCTTTGAAAAACTGAAAATAAAGGTTTTGAAGTGGGAAAAAATCCAACTGGAGTTGCCATCCCTTAGTTTCGACTTTCTTTGGCTACTCCAGGAGCTGCTTTAGCGAATTAAGTGGGAAAAAGGAAAAAAAATGAGCTGTCCTAGTTTTTTCCGTAGTTAGGGTCTGCGTCTCCAGCACATTGCTGGAGGGGAAAGAAGGCTGGCCCGGACTAGGGCATCCAAGTACAATTGCTGTGTGTGCCTTTGGATCAATGTGCATACCTGTGTGTGTGCAGTAGGGTGGGGGTGTCAGAGAGATCCGCCCCGAATGTGTGTGTGCGGCTTGGAACTAGACCCTGCCATGATTTGACGTGACAAACTGCTGACACGTGGTGCAAAATACATGAGGGCAGAGGGAATGATTTGTTTCTGCTTTTTATGAGAGAGCCTCTCTCTTTCTCTGATTCTGTGTGGTAAAGCCCGGAGTAGGTGGAGCGAAGAGGTGCTTATTAAAAGGACTAACTGTCCAGGGTATTGGGTGCAATCGGGCTGCAGATGCCTGTGAGGTTTTGGGTGTGCAAACATGGGGCGCTCTTCACTTAGCGGTGGCTCCTGTTATCCTTCGCTCGGCTGTGGGGTGGGAGGTGCGGGGCCCGCGGCCCCGGCGTCGGGAGGGTGAAAGTGGAGGGGAAGGAAGGCGGGGGCGAACCTCGGCCAGAAAGCTTTTAGGGTCCAGGTGAGCAGTTGCTTTTGGAGTTAGGCTCTAGAGAAGGTGGGGGATGGGGACAGCGTTCTCGGAAGAAAGTGTCCCTTGGCCCTGGTCGTGCTCATAAGAGGGCTCAGTCGAATTGGAGCATCCTCCCAGCGAGCGGGCGGGGCTGTCATTTTTGGGGTTTGAATGGGTGTCGACTTGCGAGGGAAAGGCCGGCATCCGGGGCTGGGGAGGGCCTGGGAATGCAGTTTGGGGGCAAACCCAGAGCCTGTAAGGGGAGCCCCTGGGAAAGCGAGCAAACCTGAGCTCGCTTAGCTAGGAACAGGGGTCCCCAACAGGGGTCGCCAGTGGCCAGGACGCAGCCGCCAAGCGGAGGTAGCGTGGCGGTGCCTGCGAGAGGGACCCGGGGTACAGGGGACTTGCGGCGGCCGCATGGTTTTTGGGGCCCGGCGAGGGCAGGTCCGGGGGACCTCCTGGGGGCCAGTGGACCTGATGGCACATCTGCGAAGTGCATTGGGGGGCTTTTAAATCATAGTGTTGGCCAGGTTTGTAGTTAACGCAGCAACGTGGTCTCGGCATTTGCGGAGGCCTTAAAGGGGAAACCGATCGGGTCACCTCGTTCTACTCAGTGGCGCTGTCGGAGAGGACTGTCCCTCGCGGTGTCCCGTGAGTGGAGGTGGGGGGGGGGCGGGGAAACGTCACTAGGATTGGCGACCCCGCGGCAGATTTTCCACCTGGACGGCGAGGCAGCGATTGGTGACACTCTGGCCAAGACGCCTTCAGCCCCTTGGGGCTGAGCGCACGGCTCGTCCCCGGTGCTTCCAGCCTGCGCTGCCTGTGTGTCCTCTAGGGGACAGCTCTCCCGTGGGCTTCGCATAAGTGGAAACCAGCCTAAAATGGCTCTGTGCTTGTAAACTGCAGTTTCAGCCGGGAACCCTCCCCTCCTCCTGACGTCGCCGATGACAAGCGCACAATTCCCTCCAACGCCTCGAAACCCGCAATTTTGCACCGAGCTGTGCGGTGGAAGCGAATTACAAAGAACTTCCACGGCATTCTCGTAGGGTCCAAGTTTCCCATTCTTGTGGGGGAGAAGCGGGAAGAGCTCTGCTGTCCACCGCCCAGAAACCTGGGGCGGGGAGGAGGACTTGCGGGCTCTCCAGAGGCTGGGGGACCAGAGACCTTTACGCGTAAAAAACCGAGGGTGGTGCCCCGGGACGTGGAGGGTGGCCGTGCGGTGCAGTCGCCACTCCCAGGGGCGCCTGCCCTTGATGGTATTTATTTTTGTGTGTGTGTGTGTGTGTGTGTGTGTGTGTGTGTGTGTGTGTGTG